TGTTGACCTCTTTGAAATTATCAAAATTGGAAAATTTAATTTTGGGTCAACTTTCTCACATACCTCAAATTATCATGATATATACAAACAAGTTAGTTCTGCTCAACAGTTTTTCCATGTTCACCTGCGACAAGAAAAAGTGATTTTTTGCCTCTTCCTGAAATCTATATGAATTTTTGCTCGTTTATCTACGTTTATTTTTCGACTGTTAATTTCATATTCTGTTACCTTTCTGAGAACTATATTTCATCCCCAGTATACGGTTTCTGTCTACTACAAACTCAATATGAGAATGTCATCCTAGTAGAAATCAAGGAATAAAAGTACCATGTTAAAACTAGAATAATTTGAAGTTCTATTCTCCTTTTTCAAAATAAGTCCTATAACACTATAATACAGCTATAACAAAAGTAATTCGAAACCTTTCATTTTTAGTAAATTAATTTTCAATTACTTTAGGCTCATTTGTGTGAATAGCCCCAGGAACACACTAAAAGACAAAACAGTTTTTTGAAAATATAATTTTGCCCGTATAAAGGAAAAGCTATAAGAACCAAATGATTAAAAAACAACAAATAGAAAATAATAGAGCAGTAGGAAATAGAGTATAAAATGAGTTTCTAGAATTCTTGCTATATTTCGATTTCTTCTACAAAATCACCGAAAATTCCCAGAAAAGTCGATAAAAATGTTTGCCTCTCTATTGTGTTTCATTAAAATACAATTCCTTACTCGGTTACTTAACACGTAGGTTCCGCAATAACGTTCGATAATTATTTATAGAGCACTCAATCGAAATGATCTATATTTATAATACCAACGACCACAGCGATTTTTCTACTGTAATTGATGCATGTCGACATCGAGGTTGTCACAAATAACTACTATCAATGCAGACAATAAAAATATCGAAATATAATGGGGCTCGTCCCACAACCTATTTCAAAATAAAAGATCGGAATGGGTTCAAGCCTCGATCCTACTGAAAAAAACGAAATGCCTAGCTATTTACCAACACCGTCGAGCTATTTCGCATCCATTTAGAATAGAATGGTTACATTTCCATCTGAAACAACTCACGATTAGAAATACCATCGTGCATGATGATTGCTGAACGGCTTGACGTAATTTAATAGCTTATCAAATTAGCATGGGATGCAAGCAAAATGAAGTGAAACTATATTTTATTCGTAAGCAGTGGCCAACCTGAGAAATTCAACACTCACTTTTATTCAGAAAAATCAAGTTATTTCAATTAAAGGTCTGAAAGTAAAATTGGGAATATCAATGGATATAATCCAAAAGAAAGGTTTTTACACTTTAACTCAGGTACTTTCAACCCCTTCCAACCCTCACACATTGACGTAAGTCTAGCGAAAGCAATTATGAACGTTTGAAATCCGAATAAAATAAAAAAAAAATCAGAAAGCTTACATTTTGTTCATAATACAATGGTTTGAACTGTAAATATAAAAAAGTAGGTAGATCAGTTAGACGATCAGCAGTGATATACAGGATGTCTATTAAACATACGGTAAAAATTTAAGGGACTATTCCTTGGACTATTCTAAGGATATTTTGTCCTTTGATGATTTTTGATAGGGCGCTTTGTTTCGAAGATACGGGGTGAAAAAAAATTTCGACAATAACAATGTTGGTAATTTTAAAATTATTAACGTAGCCGAAATAAAAGTATACACTGGACCCACGTAATAAAAAATCTAACAATTCCGTTGGTACCTATCAAAAACATGCCGATTACGGTGGAAGATGTGGAAGATTTGAGAAATCGGACAATTGCTGGGTGTAACGCAATCAGAAGCGATCCTGGTGTTTTTGAAGGAGTTCAAGAGTCGTTAAGAAGAAAAATGGATTCTTGCACCCAAGCGGGGGTAGTAATTTTCAACAGTTAACAGTTCTTGTAGGTAATTTTTTTCAATAAATTGTTTTTGTCGAATTTTTCGAAACAAATCGCCTTTTTTGTTTATATCTTATAACTTTTTTGGTAATATTATTCAACTCATTCGAATACTTTGCCCATAGAGTAGTTATTATCAATATTTCAGAAGCAAGTCTTAATCCTCAACATCCATCAAAAAACATTGTCAACCACATTGGAACAGATATAAAATTAAAAAACCTTTTATACTGCAGAAAACATATTAATGTGTCATTTGTTTATTCACAAAACAATTGAAGGAAAACAGAATTTTAAAAAAATGTTTTTTCACTAAGAGATGTTCAGTAATATTTTTCGTCCAAAAATTTTTATTTATGGTAAACATCAGCATCTAAACCAGACATTGTTTAAGTTTACTTACACCTTTATTTCAAAATCAATTTCAATAAAAAATCATGAATTGAGAATTTCTTCGATCAGTTTCAAGTTCCATTTACTTGAAAATGAATTATTTTTTTCCAAAATATATTTTTTGTTTTGACTTATTTACAATAATAAATTTTACGAAAAAATTCTGAAATCAATATAATACAAGTACAATGAGTTTTTTGCACTTTCGGCAAATATTTTCCATGAAAACTCCTTTATTTCTCATAAAATACACTTTGACCAACATATTCAAAACTTTTGTTCCCAATATTCAATGAAAATGAAAATGAAACTTACATTCAGTCTCGATTACAGTGCTAGATTATTTGCAAAAAAATAACTACAAAAAACTGCATTTGCTAGTGCACTCTTTCTGTATAACTCAATTTAATAATTTCATATTCTGTTACCTTTCTGAGAACTATCAAATGTCGCAAGAGAGAAATAAATCTCGAAAGAAAACTGAATATGGACGTGAAAGTAGGCTATGAATATAAAGTTAACAAACATTAGCATGTTCTCGTTCACCAAATTATCAAATCGGTCTGTCATGATCTGTACTAACGAATTTCTATTACAATTTCTATGCTCGTGGGTTCTTTTACTGGGACCACAACACCTGCAAAAGTTATCATTTTTTCAACTATACGGGTTTCAAGATAGTCAATTTATATATTTCATTCAGTTGAGGTTATGTTTAAGTCTCGCATCTGTCGGCAGGTGTAAAAAACGTGGCTCGAGTTGAAATAAACTTTTTCTTTGACAGTGAACTAATATTTTGATTAATTACACAATGCTGTTGTTTTACATTCAAATCTTCAACTTTTTATCGATTAGTTTCTGAGACACTTTTAAAACTTCTTTTGCGATTTAACAAATTGTTATCAGATGTTTACAAGTGAGTCACAATTCGCCTGTATTTTGAGCATGGTATTTCCACTGGTAGCAAAACAATACTAATTAGCAAACATTTTTTTTATTGCGGATACCTACTAAAGGTGTGTTTATAAATTCGCAACTATTTTTTCCGCGCTGATTTCAACTTCAGGTAAGAAATGACATTTGTTTACACTATCCTAATCTTATCTTGTTTTCTCTACAAGTTTGACGTAGGGGAAACTGAGGATATTTTGACACATAAGGATACATGACCCAAGACATTTTTCTTCAATTCAAGGAATGTTTGAAATAGTAATTTTGACAATAATATATTCTTTACTCACTGAATGATTTGGAGGGAAAACATTCTCAGTGTTAATTGTACTTTCAATTCTGAACAAGTTCATAAACAATTATGAGTTTGAAGTGAATTATTTGTTTGTGTAAAATTATATGATTAATGTAAAGGTGATATATTTTCAAGTTCTCAATGCAATTATTAAATGAATTGACTGATATTGCTTATATCGAAGTTTGAATGAACATATTATGTAACTTGAGAATACTTTACTTGACCCAAAGAAGTACCCCGTAAAACCTTCTTATTGTAGATGCTCAGAATTATGAAAGTAAAAAATGCCGTAAAAACTGAAACATGCATTGCACCTTGAGGCAATATGTACTGAAAGAAGGAAATAAACGAAATACTTTAAAATCTGTCAAAATCTGAATGGGAGGATGAAATTGTGGAAAAATGTGCGTAGGTTTGTATGAATGATGCAGGTTAGCCAAAATGAAATTCATACTAGAAAATTTGTCGAAAAATGCAAGACACAAGGTTCAGGTGACTGGTCATGGATAGTAATACACGTTTTGAACAGAATCATTAAAAGTGATCGAATCATAAGTTTTAGCACCAATTTAGATATCATAGTCCTTATATCTGTAATAATTTCAGTAGGTATTTAAAAAAGTTCAAGGTAGGTATAAATTCCATAAAATCATTTATACAGTTTTTGTACTTAGATCGTGACCTTAAATTTACGAATTTCAACTTCTAGATGAAAATATCCGTACCTAAGTATACCACAAATACCGGTTAATTGTTGACAGCTAATAGTTGATGGTGTTCGTTTTAAAAAAAATGGTAGCAGAGTTTTTACAGAAAATGATGGCACTTTTGTGGAATTAATTAAAAAACCAAAGAAAATTACGATAATACCATAATAAAATTTGCAAATTTTGGCTGATGTTCATGATTATCGTGTATATGTCCATTCTGATTTGCCAAGAAAAATAAATTGCCTTATTTAAAAAAAAAGGATTCGGATTAATATCAACAAAAGCTTCAGCTATCATTTGTCATATTTCACTAGTAATAACTTTTAGGACTAAAATTGAGCTTTATAAACTGACCAGTCAAACATTTCTTAAGACAACGACAAAGACTGAAACTGAGACTTGAGACAAAGATTATGAAGTCTAAATTGGCCCTTACTTCCGAGTGTAAATTGAAATGTCCACTTCAATAACTTCAGTTTACCTTTCCGATTCAGTAAAAATATTTCAAATAATTATTTGTGCATTTCAGATTTGTGTTCATTTTATCAATAGTATTCAAATAATGAAGAATTATCAACTTGTAGACCAATGTTTTTACTCATTTTGAATGATCAAGTCAAATATCCTCATTAGGTAACTTTTGAAAGGCATGGTCGTGAATAATGATGATGTGGGACATAAGTATAATAGCAATAGTTAAAAACGATGAAAAATTCCAGTAACTGAATTCTGAGTGTGGGTATCCTCAGTCTCCCCTACCGTCGAAAAATAACGACATGCTAAAAAAACACAAAAACTCACCTTCCAGTTTCATCCCGACTTCCAGGCATTTCTGGAACCTACAAAACGGGCACCTTTTCCTTTGAGTCTTGTCAATGTGACAACTCCTTTCTGCCACACACGTGTATACTTTTTTATTTTGAACGGTTCGTTTGAAAAATCCTTTGCAGGACTCACAGGTGAGAAGTCCGTAATGGTATCCCGATACTTTATCCCCGCAAACAGGACACAACTCCTCGATGCCATCCTTCGTATCCGAACCATCCCCGGAACCGGCCAGGGAAGTCGTAGGTCCGGTAATTTGGTAACTGGCCCCCATGTCGATGCCGGTCAGCGTGTTGGCTCCTGGGGAAAACAAATAAGACGTGTCAAGGTTATTCATGGACTGGGACATCATCATCGACTGCTGATGATGGTGCTGCATGTTCATGGTTTGCTGGCAACTACTGTAAGGGACGGAAATTGGAGGCGAGCCGTATTGGGGGCTGGAGGCCTGATTAGCCATCGGGGAATCGCCCGAATTCGCGCTGAATGAAGACATGTTGAGAGACAATAACGTAGAATGATTCTCCATGTCGAGTAACATTTCACACGATAGTCACAACAAAATTTTATAGTCAGCCTGCACTACCTGACCGTCATGTTAAATCCTAGCGAACACAACCACAGCACAGTTACATCCAGTTGGCGCAATAATCCAACGAAACCAAAAGAGAGTTATAATCCAGAATGTGGGGCACACTCACGCACTCGACTAGAACAAATGAAATCGACAGTCACACCTCCGACTTGCCTGAGATCGCAAACTGAACTGACCAGCAGCGAGCGGTACAGTCGAAAACCCGTGCAGCCGGCACAGGACCACAATGGAAAATGATTAGGAGTCCATGTAACAAGTGAAAGTGAGTCGGGACTAGTGACCTACTTTCCAATGAACCAGGTCTATGTTAGTGCTGTTGTGAAGTCATACACATACACTTACAACATCGCGCACACACACACTATCTGAACGAACGAGCGGGAGGGGAGAGCGCGTGGAGGTTGTTGGGTAGTGGGGATGGCCTACTGACCCACATAGACGCGGCGCATCATGTGGATAATGCCGGCGCAGGGCCAGGGAGAAAGGGAGAGACCCTTTACCTTCCGCACTTCGGTTATACGTTGAGTGCGAGACTCGGACGACTTCCTCAGACAAGGTTGCCATTATTGCCCGTAATTCCTGTCATTGTAAATAATTTACCCCTCTTTCAGTATAAGCGATCATTTAAGAAATTTTAAGGAATCAATATGTTCGATAAAAAACAATGAAGAGTATTTGAAAAATTTAAATCGACTTCATTTTTTTTTTGAAAAGTTTGAAATTATTTTCTTATAGTGTGTCCTAATTAAAATGAATACAGAATATTCTTGTTATTCTCAGAACTGAAAATGTAATTACGCCACCTACTACCTACGATTGTTGAATAAGAATTGTATATAATATAATGAAACTTGCACTATTCCTTAAGGCGAAGTACATATTAGCAAAAAAATTGCAACAATTCGATCAACAGTTTTGGAGAATTGCATGGGCAAACATACATTGCATACAAACGTACACTTGTTTGGAATCCCTTATAGGTATATCATAATATTTGAAAATGTTCATTGACAAATTGCATTGTTATTTATATACGTACATATATACATATCGAATTTATAACCTCCATTTTTCTTGAAGTCGGTAAATACTCATAAAATGTACCAGGTGCCACATTTTTATTACACGGTTTCATTGACAAATTGATCTGATATTTCGTACACACATTTAGTTTTTATGACAATACAATTAAATAAATTCCATATCATTGTAAATCCAAGGTGGCCTCAGCTTCAAAATGGCGGATTCATATTACCTCAGGCACTAAATGAAATAATAAACTAAAAACCTGAAAATAAAATGAGTTGAAAAAATTATGTTGAACGGTTTTATAGGGAAAAAAGATAATAATGTACATAATATACTAAAAATATTTAGAAGGTCCTAGGTATCAGTCATTACACCAATCTCCTCAGCAATCTTCGGTATTGATCAGATAAAAAAATATAATTAAATCGTTGGGCGTAGTAGGTATTTACATATTCACTCATTTTTTTATCTGATCAATACCGTAGATTGCTGAGGAGAATGGTGTTTTAGTTTTGAGTACATTGTCTACATTATAATCTTTTTTTTTTTAATAAAACCGTAAAACATAGAAAAAAGTCACTTATTTTATTATCTTTGTAAATGAGGAAAACGATAATTAGGTCATGAAATAAGTAAAGAGTGAAATGGCAATAGACGGAGAGTTCAAATCTGAAGTTTGTAATTAATGCCTGCCTTTTCATGTTTTTCTTAAACCCCCGGCATCGAATCGGAGTTTATTGTGACACAGAATTTTCGAATCAATCGAGTTACTATGTTTTATATTGTTTTTTAGATTTAATTATGAATGTTAGAAATATATTGTATATTTTTGCATTGAGTGTAGCTAAAAGGACTCATGTTCTACTTGTGATGCACTGTTTGGAACCTTTGGTGTAGTGTTTCGCTCACCAATTGATCATCTTCAAGAGGAAAATCAAACATATTCTATATTATGTTCTATATTAAATTTTCCAATGCAAATCTACTCGTCTGACTATACAACCTACTATTTGGATTTTCTCAAATGAAATCTAAATGAGTATACGTTTTCTAACCTCTACATATTTCAAGCCAGTGAAACAAGGAAAATATCAAGTACAACATATTTCACAAGTACATATTAAATTGTATTCATTCATATCCAGATAATTGGGCGATCTTCATACATTTTAGGGAAATTATGTTGTCTACAGCTTGTCAAATCTAGAAAGAGACTTGGGAATTTTCCCTCTCTCGCTCTCATGGTCTTCAGAAAGCTGTTCCTACATATTTGACAAGCTGTACTTATCGATTGAACGTGGATTGTCTATTATGACTTATATTTGATTATTTATTTTGCTTGAATGTTCTTTTTTTTGTAATTGTTGAGTTAAAAATCCTCAATTTTTATATATATCGACACACAGAGACTAGTTCCTTCTGTGAATTTATGTCTATATAAGGCAAAATATAATTTCTTATTATTAACTCATTACATTATCATATACCTGTTACGTATCTTTACCCCTTAAATACGTTCGGAAGACCTCCACATTCAAATCCATGAATTTGTTGTGGTTGGGCTCTAGTTTTCAGCAACTTGCCTTCCAGTGAAAGCTGCAGTAAACCTTGTTTATCTTTGATATTCGATAATTGAGTTCTCTGTCGATCCCATATATAATGAGAGGGGAAATCACATCGCCCCCACTTACTGAAGGTCTATTGTTTGGGTAAATTTTCTAGCCAAGATTTTTCAGCAAGCAATTTCCTGGAATCCCGAGTAATATTGTTAGTAATTGGAACGATGAGCGTTGGCAACACTGTCCTCGAATATTCGGCCGATGCGCCATCAAAAGTGGGTGTGGGCCGGAAAAAATGATTTGACTTTGTAAATAGTATACCAGGCGAGCAAAAATCTTTGAATGATCGAGTGAATCAAGTGCTAGAATTCAATATAGAAAAATTCAGTCTGCCAAAATCGTCGTTGAAATAGTTCATTCAGACAACTTCTGGCTACAATAATATATAAGGAATGTATACTATACCTACAGGATGCCTTAGCTCTTTATTGAAAGTAATATCGCATGACCAAAATTTTATCGATACATTTCTATTTTTTAATGAAAACTTTGTTATTTAGCAATACCATGGGAACAACAGCATGATAAAACTACAAGTCCGAAGGTTTGCTTCAAGTATCCATTCTACAGTAATTATAAAGTCGTAGAATGAGTATAGTATGCGTGGCATACGTATATTTTGCGTGATGCTTTTTTTGCACTCGTTCGGTTTACAATACTCGCCTACGGTTCATGTTGCAAACTACCCACTAGTGCAGAGTTGAACTTCACGACTTATACTGTTTTCTAACTTAGATCTAGATCAGGGTCATACAAGTCCCGACGATCACAAGAGAACCTCATGATTTTTTGGAAAGAAGCCCATTATATTTAGGGCGGTTTGATGATGACGACGTTTTCAAGATATAATTATGATAATGTGTAAAGAAAAAAATCACACCCTCTTGCGAATTACATGTTTGATATTAAAGTTGTTGTTGTTTTTTAGACAAAAAAAAGCTTAGAAACTATACCAGAAAAGATTTCATTGAAATACTGATGAAAAGCTGATGCCTTCCTTGTATTGAGGAAATGTCAACTCATTCTCATTGTGACCTCAACAATTTTTAAAATTGTTTTTCAGTGTCAATGTCGAAAATGGAATTTTCATCAATATTTTACTTTTACTTTTAGCGAAAAAACTGCATAATTTTTTTATGACAAGCATCAAATACCAAAACCCTACATTATATAGGAAAATAAATATTTAGAAATGAAATCTCGAAACATGCAATTCTCTCAACGTAACCTACACAGTAAGTTCTGGTAAATTCCTGCCCGAAAGCAACTACTTCCCTGGTGAATACCACGATGAACTTCGAATTATATCTGGCCTACATTTATACAAGATACCTCACAGAGAATAGTCTTGCAGGTGTTTCTCGTTCATCCAGCAGGAGGACCATGCTGAAATCAGTCGAGTAGATCACCTACATATCTGTTTCGAGGTATTTATTACTTTTCATCAGTGCAGGAACGATCCGACCCAAGCAGCACTGTGCCTGGAACTCGCCTGACTTCAATGTCAACACATAGTTTTATATAACCTCTTTTTATTCTACAAGTAAAGATGAAAATAAAATAGGTAACGTTTGCGTTTAATTTGTGACAGCTAATGTTCTGCGGCTAGCTGGCCACGAATTAAAAAAAAATCGATGCTCTCCCTTATGTCCCTTATGATAGCCCTCCAAAGTTCCGGAAATTGCAACTTTTCGGCCTTTTCAAACTATGGAAAAACGCAAGTATTTTTTCACACATCACCTTCACATCTCAATTCAACTGCTTTCACAGTGTTCAGTTTAATAATCAACATTATTTCTGTAAAAAACTTTACTGATTTACTGAGCAGTTTTTTTTATAAATCTCTCCATGTACTTCAGGTTAACGTCTTAGTTGGCATCACTGATTACTATGAGCATTTCAAATTCATATCAAGTGTTTTTGATTTCATTTTCGTTAAACGCTATATTGTTTTTTGACGCTATGCTAAGTGAAAAATGGATTCAAGAAATAAACTAAAATTGGCTTTTATGCAGCAAAATAAACCAAGTGAAAATGCAGTGCAGAATAATTTTGATAGTTTAATTTTGTATAATCAATTTTGTAGATGATGCAGGATGTCAGACCTCAAAGAGAATGACCAAATTATTTTATTGAGATTTTTTTAACAAATACTTTCAAATATACTCAATGAGTAAAAATATGTTCCTTCTTTTTTTTAACGGGAACAGGATCAAAGGAATTCACCTTATGTATAACTACTATAGAACAAGAAAAAAACCTGTACAATTATTGGTTAAATGAGGAAAATTATCTGTGACTTCAACTGGATTCGAAATTTCATTGAAATTATTGTTTAATCTGTTTAAAATCCGTTTAAAATCTGTTTTTCCGTTAATCAGCTGCCGCCCCCATACGGACGACAACTCTCAGAAGTTGAGAAACTTGTGCGAGCTAGGGACTAACGAGGTCTTACCTTTTAACGTGTGATTCCTAACACGGTTGCAGAATCATTCCAGCTTCAACCAGATGAATTCTCTAGAGAAAAATATCTGATCGAGGCGGGAATCGAACACACGACCTTTCGATCGTGAGTCGGACGCACTACCACCGCTTACATCAAAAAAGACATTCGAATCACACGAATTTCCAATAGTAGTCGGTGACAGTTTCCAACCGCTTTTTTCCGAAATGTCACCCCTTGGAATGGGAAGTTGTCCCCAGAAAACGAATCCAATGTTGAATCAAAATTTTGTATAGGA